GATTAACAGTATTAAAACTGGCATTAACGTTATTAGTATTAGCATTAACAGGATTAATATTAGCATTAGCATTTTTAGCATTAACAGTATTAGCATTAATAGTTTTAGCATTAGCATTATTAGGATTAACAGTATTAAAACTGGCATTAACGTTATTAGTATTAGCATTAACAGGATTAATATTAGCATTAGCATTTTTAGCATTTACAGTATTAGCATTAATAGTTTTACCATTAGCATTAGTGGTATTAGCATTAACAGTATTAAAATTAGCATTAACGGTTTTAGCAGTGTTAGCATTAGCATTCACAGGATTAATATTAGCAATAGCATTTTTAGCATTAGCGGTATTAGAATTAACAATATTAGCATTAACAGTTTTAGCATTACCGGTATTAGGATTAACAGTATTAGCACTGGCATTAACATTATTAGTATTAGCGTTAGTGGTATTAGCATTAACAGGATTAATATTAGCATTAGCATTTTTAGCATTAACAGTATTAGCATTAATAGTTTTAGCATTAGCATTATTAGGATTAACAGTATTAAAACTGGCATTAAATTTATTAGTATTAGCATTAGCAAGTGTCTAGGCTTAAAAAAGATCAAAGGTTTTAAAAGATGTGATTTTCCACTTATTTTTAATGAGAAAATGTCAGAAAAGATAAACATTTCAAAGTGTATAAACCAAGTCTGAGACGTAACGACCACAAGCTGAAAGTTTTGATGTTTGAACAGTTGAAAAAGCACAAACTTCAGTTTGGTGCTCAGAAATCTGCAGAACATTTTAGCCACAATAATAATAAAGAGAAAATGGAAACAATAATCTGCTGATTATTTGTGTAAATGTTCTGTGTAAGCCCCCCACCCTCGCTGTAACAAACAGAGGGTCTCAGCAGAGATGTAGGCCATAATGAGGGACATAAAATAATGATTAGTCCTCCAAGTAAATACCAATTAAAAGAGTCAGAGAGCTGCAGGCGATGTCCTCCATCCTGTGCTGTTTGCTTCACAGCTGAGCCTCATTGGTCAAAATCAGTCTGACAAGAAAAAAACTGTTTAATCAATTAATGGAATTAGTGATAAAAGTCACAACAACACATTTTATATCAATAATATACAGATATTTACCTTAAAAACAGCTTGAATCCATCCTCTGAGAATAAATCAGCAGCAGAAAATAACTTCAGTTTGATTTTGACCTGATGATAAAAGAAGTGAGGAAGAGGAAGAGTTTCCACAGACACCACTGCCCTCTGCTGACAGTTTGTTTCAAACCAGCTGTTCAGGTTTCTCTGTTTAAATGAAAATATTAAAAGACAAACTGCAACAATTATTGCTAATTAAACAAATCAAACCTTTATGTTCAGATGTTTGCAGCTAAACAAGACAAATAATTTACGATTTATTATTTCTAATGAACAGATTTTCACTCAAACTTTCAGCTGTTTTATTGTGAAATAATGTGAAACYGCTTTGATGTTTGGTTTTTGTAACATTTATATTATTTACATTATTCATTTTTACTATATTTAATTTATTTAGGATCTTTTCAAATCATTAAGAAATATGCTGTTCTTTAAAATCTGCTTCATTTGTTTTTTATTTTATTTTTATCTCATTTTGTTCTTATTTATTCATATATATTTCTTTATAAATAAAACTGATCTTATCTGTTTTTGCCTCATTTTTCCTCTGAGTTTTCTTCTGTCCATTTTGTCTGTGGTTTTTTATTCTTCTTTATCTTTGTTTTTTTTTCAGTCCATCCATGTCTTCTGCTTTAAACATTTCAACAAACATTTTCAGTTTTTTTCAGCTGCAACTTCAGAGAGAATTTGTTTTTTTTTTTAAATATTTATTTGATTATTTTTTGCAGGAAGTCAGAGCCTGAGCTGCACAAATAAAAGCTTTTTAAGTAACGAGAGAAAACATGAAACATTGAGGTTTTATTGTCTTTATTAAACAGAAAGTAAATGTAAGATCTGTTCCATTTGGAGGTGGTTTGGTACCGTTATCTGGTCCTGATGTTCGAGGTCTCTGGATGAACTCACAGCTGGTTCATTCTCAGCTCTGATGAGATCTCAGCTTATCTGATGAAACTCAACGAGCTTTTCTGAGAGCAAAGCTCTTCAGAAGCAACAGAACCTGCGTCTCTTTGTCCTCTTGGTTCCTCTCAACAACACGACAGGAATAATCTCAGTCAGACTGACGGCTCATTTCACAAATCAATATTTATAATTGACTTCTTTCAGAGTTCCTGCAGTGAGCTCTGCTCCACATCCTCAACTCCTAAAGCAGCTGATCATATCTGGAATGAGTTTCCTCCTGTTTTCTCGCTCGCTCCACAAATCAATGTCTGCGTTTGTTCGCTTTAATCGGGCCGATGATGACAGGAAATCTTTATCTGGTTCTGGGCCCAAACCACTCCCCATCAGAACAAAGAGCGGGCCCGTGTGGACCCAGAGAGACCATTAATCAGAGCTGCTGACAGGCGGACCTGCTGAGCCTTTCATCAGGACCATGAGGAGACCGGGACAGGTGGATCAGAACTTTACGTGTCAAACACTGATTCACCTGAAGCTTCACAAGTCACAATAAAAACTGAGATTCTCAGTAAACAACTTCACTTTTATTTTTTTATTTGATGTTGGATCTGCAGGGTTCTGATGGCTCATAGAACTGGTTCAGTTCTGTCTATGTTGGTGTGGTAGTAGCTGAGAGTCATGGTGGTTGATCTTCAGTCTGTGTCTAAATGTTGTTGTTAGTAATCATTCCTCTCTGAAGTTCAGCTCTGGTTCTAACAGGAAGTGGTTTTGAATAAAGAGATAAAGCAAACCTCCCAGACTTCCCTCTCTCCAGACACTTGGACCAGCTCCTCTGGYGGAATCCCAAGGTGTTCCCAGCTGAGAAACATAGTCCCTCCAGCGTGTCCTGGGTCTTCCTCTGGGTCTCCTCCCAGTGGGACGTGCCCAGAATACCTCACCAGGGAGGAGTCCAGGAGGCATCCTAACCAGATGAACCACCTCAACTGGCTCCTCTGGACGTGGAGGAGCAGCGGCTCTACTCTGAGTCCCTCCTGGAGGACTGAGCTTCTCAGCCTATCTCTAAGGGAGAGCCCAGACACCCTGCAGAGGAAACTCATTTCAGTCGCTTCACACTCGGCTGTGAACCGCTCCAGTGAGAGCTGGAGATCAGGGTCTGATGAAGCCAACAGGACCACATCATCCACAAAAAGCAGAGATGTGATCCTAAGGTCACCAAAAAGGATCCCCTCAACACCTTGACTGCTCCTAGAAATTCTGTCCATAAAACTAATGAACAGAATCGGTTACAAAGGACAACCTTCATCCAACTCTCACCGGAAATGAGRCCGACTTACTACCAGCAATATGGACCAAACTCTTGCACCAGTTGTAAAAGGCGTGGCACCCCATACTCCTGGTGTACCCCCCATAAGAGTCCCAGATGGACACGGTTGAATGCCTTCTCCAAGTCCACAAAACACAAGTAGACTGGTTGAACTCCCATGAACCCTCCAGGACCCTGCTGAGGGTGTAGAGCTGGTCCGCTGTCCCATGACCAGGACGAAAACCACACTGTTCTTCCTGAATCCGAGATTCGACTATCTGACAGACCCTCCTCTCCAGAACCCCTGAATAGATCTTACCAGGGAGGCTCAGAAGTGTGATCCGTCTATAGTTGGAACACACTCTGTGGTCCCCCTTTTTAAATAGAGGGACCACCCAGGTCTGCCAATCCAGGGGAACTGCTCCCAATGTTCATGCGATAGAGTCACATCAACCAACACAACTCCACAACATCCAGAGCCTTAAGGAACTCAAGGTGAATTTCATCCACCCCCAGAGGAGCTTTTTAACCACCTCAGTGACCTCGGCACCAAAGATTGGAGAGTCTGACCCAGGGTCCTCAGGCTCTGCTTCCTCATGGGAAGATGTGTCGGTAGGATTGAGGTCTTCTAAGTATGATTCATGTGGCCAAACGGTTTTACTGAAAATTTTGCAGACATCTTCTCCCGCTCCCAGACAATGACCGAGACAAGACTGAGTACAAATTGAGTCAAATATGGTCAAGTTTGAGACAAGACCAAGACCATTATAAAGTGGTCTTTAGACCAGTCTCAAGTACTACAGCACTAGTATGTGATGAGCAGCAAACAGGAGAAACACATTCTGATATTTACAGCTTGATCTGGACACAAACAGGCAAAACTCAACCCAGAATCATAGAAGAACCAGAATAAACTCTAAATCCAGGATAAAGAGCTTCAGTGAATGTTGTGTTGAAGGTGTGGAGGTGGATCAGGACATTGCTGGAGACTCTATAGAAGGACAGGGCACCTGCAGGACAGTCCACATACACAGCTACTCTGTAAGGGAACAAGTGGCAGGACGAGGAGATGGGTGTGTCTCTGTTTCTGTGCCAGACAACAAAACCTCTATRAGAGAAGTCCAGACTCCAGGACTGATCATTCCTTCCAAACAGACAGTCCTCACAGTCTCCTTTACGTCTGATTCCTCCGTAACTCACTGATATACAAATGTTTCCTGTAGCCTCCACCTCCCAGTAAGCTCGACCAGTCAGACCGTTTCCACACAGCAGCTGAGGATAGACATCAAATCTGTCTGGATGCTCAGGATACGACTGGACCGCCCCATCAAATACCACCTTCCTGTTGTTGTCCGACAGTTTGAGTCCTCTGTGTATGGTGTCTGTGTTGACTGTGAGCTGACAGGAATCTGACAGAGAACAACCAGATGATCATTTATCAACACTTTAATGATTGAGTGAATGTGTGCTGCTTTGATCTTCACAAACCAAATGAAAAGCATACTTACACTTCTTCAGACCTGGTGTCAAATACTGGTCTCCAGAAGGTTCCACCCTGAAAGAAGAGAGAGTCAGACCAACAGTCTTTGTAAGCATGCAGACTTGGACATTAACTGGCTCTTGTACACAAATATCTACACTAAAGATGGCTTTTTGCTTAGAAGTCAAGAAATCTGCTCTGTGATGTAGCAGAGACATTTTTTTCCAAAGGAAATTTTGTACTCAAGAGAAACCCTACAATGGTGCAGTGTTGGGCAATAGGTATCCTTGAGATCAGCAGTGGGGTTTCTCTTGAACCACAGTCTATCCATCCATCATCTTGTTCCAGAGTCAATACTCAAGGGCAACAGCTTGATCAGGGAGGTCCAGACCTCTCCTTCCACAGCCACATTTTCCAGCTCTTCTGAGAGGTCTCTAAGGCATCCCAGACCAGCAGAGAGACAGTCTCTGGGTCTTCCCTGGGGTCTCTTCCCAGTTGGTCATGTCCAGAACACCTCCCTATAGAAAGGCATCCAGGTGCTTCATCCAGGTTACCACACGGACCACCTCAGCTGATTGTGGAGTGCAACAGCTCTACTCTGAGTCTCTCCTGGAGAACTGAACTTTTTATCTTCTCTTCAAGACTGAATATCACAGAACTGGAAGATGTTTTAGCTGATCTTATTTCAGGTTATTGGGCATGTATTTGATTGACCTTTGTTCTTTTTAAAACCTAGCTATGTTACTGACACTACTGCATATGCTATTTGTATCATTTTGTTTTATTTTTCATGCCAATTATGCTAATACTAATACTGCTAGTGCTAATAGGCTACAGCTAATGCTATTTATAATATTGCTCATGCTAATTCTGTTAAAGCTAATACTGTTACTGTTAATGCTAACAGGATCCAGCTAATGCTATTTGTACTATTGTTCATGCTAATTCTGTTAAACCTAATACTGCAATTGCTAATAGGCTAAAGCTATTTGTACTGTTGTTCATACTAATTTTGCTAATGCTAATAGCGTTAAAGCTAATACTGCTAATGCTAAAACTGGTAATTTTACAGGTCTCACTGTCTGTTCTGTAGCYTCAACACTCAGTATGCAGGCCCCCACCCAGGAGAGACTAAAACTCATTCTGTAAATATTAAATTGTAGAAGCTAATGTTAGCTCCTAACAGTCCTCCAAGCACCTATGAGAACAAAATAACAAGTTTAGTCTTGCAACTGCACCAGAGAGCAGATTTCTTCACCTTTCATATAAAGTTTTTTAGAAAATGGTTTGAGCTTAGATTTAATTGGTTTTGTTGTTTGCTTTGTTGTGGTGTAAATATAGATACTTCCTGTCACACAACTTTTTTACACTTTACAAATTCTCTTAGCACCTACTGTATGTAAATAACACGGATGTCCAAGATTGGCAAGTGTGTGTGCATGCGTGCGTGCGTGCGTGTGTGTGTGGATGGGTTTTTCCTACGTGGGAAAATTTTCCAAAAAAAAAGCAGCCTTGTGGGGACCAATGCCAGGTCTCCATGGGTCCAAATACAAACTACGGGTGTGGTTTTAGGTTTAGGATCATAGTTTAGGTTAGTTTTGGGGTCAGGTAGGTACCTGTGAGGTTAATTTTAGGGTAAATGATCAGGGTTAGGCTATAAAGTAAAAAAAAGAATGGAAGTCAATGGAAGATCCCCACAGGATTCAAGAACTAACATGTGTGTATGTGTGTGTATGTACTTGTCTCTGTAGCATAAGGGGGACTGTGCCCTGATGACACACCCACAGTGTGGAGACCTACATTTTGTGAGGACTTGATCCTCGTCAGAATAACTTTAAATTCCATAAAAAAGAAAGCCAAAGAGATACCAGGTCATGTCTCTATAGTGGTCTCCAGAATTCACAAAAAACAACTATATGTTTAGGTGTGTAGAAGAGGCAACTCACTATGTGCCCCTAGTGGTAGGAAACAGTATTGCAGAAATGTATACTAACAACACACATTATTTTTGGTTCTGTGTCATTGTGAGGACATGGGGTGAACCATTGCTGTCCATTTATCTGATTCTTTTGAACATATAGTTTTAATTAATGCATTGTTTTAACCGTACCACCAACACCTCACCGACTTTCTTTCCCTAATCACTTATGTTCTCTCAGAACTAAGGACAAATCTAAGCAACAAAAGAAGAAAGAACATAAAATGTGAAATATCAAGAGCTAAAATTGAGAATCTGTCTTTTTTACAAATATATTTTTATCAGAAAATTGTCAATATGTGAATGTTTATTTAACAACTACATAGAGAGGGAAGGAAAATGACCAGGAGCTAAACAAACAACAAAAATATGTMTCTAGTTCTTCTTTTATTTATTCATTGTGTTTGGCTGCAGCAGGCTTTTCATACTTAAGGTTATTTTGTGTGAAGTTCAAATCTTTCAATCCATCCAATAGCAGCTTCACTCCAGCTTCTCCAGGATTATTGTATGTCAGGTCCATACTTTTCAGATGAGATGGGTTAGAGCTCAGAGCTGAGGCCAAAGAAGCACAACCTTCTTCTGTGATCAGACAACCTGACAGACTACAGACACACAAGATGTACATTATTTCTTACACTTTTATGTCCAATGTAATTTCCATCAGTTAAAAACATCTGAATAACAGAAACAGAAGACAGCTGAGTATTAATCTTGACTTTTCACCTGAGAGTTTCTAGTTTACAGTGTGAGCTTTCCAGTCCTGGAGATAGAAACTTCACTCCAGAATCCTGCAGATTGTTGTTACTCAGGTCCAGATCTCTGAGATTGGAAGACTCTAAACTGAGAACTGATGATAGAGCTTTACAGCTTCTCTTTGAAAGATTACAGTCACTCAGTCTGAGAAGACAGCGACAAAAAATTTAATTTATTAAACTAGTTGGGGTTAAACATTAAATGCTTTGCATGTAATAACTGTTACATTTTTGTTATCCTACTGATATTTTCAAAAGCAAATTAGCCTAATGTTCCTTTTTTGTTGTGACTAAAGGAAATTGTCACAAAGTGGCTATAAGGATCACACGATAAAACCAAGATTTTTTGAACCAATAAACAAAGACCATGGACTGTGATAGAAATTATAACTCAACATAAAACATTTTTATGCCATCAAATTAAATATATTTTGAGTTTGAGTCTACTCACATAGCTTTCTTGGAGGCTTTGACCACTGGCAGAAGCCTCAGAAGAACCTCCTCTGAAGCAGAATACTTCTTCAGATCAAACACATCCAGATCTTTTCCTGATGACAATAAGATGAAAGCCAGGGCTGACCACTGAGCAGGAGACACTTTGTCTGTGGAGAAACGTCCTGATCTCAAAGACTGTTGGATCTCCTTCACCAGGGAATGATCATTCAGTTCGTTCAGACAGTGAAACAGATCAATGCTTTTCTCAACAGATGAAGCATGACTAATTTTATTTTGGATGTATTTGACTGTTTCTTGATTGGTCTGTAAGGTATTTCCCATCTCTGTCTGCAGACCTCGTAAGAGACTATGATTGGTCTGCAGGGAAAGACCCAAGAGGAAGCGGAGGAACAAATCCAGGTGTCCATTTGGACTCTGTAAGGTCTTGTCTACAGCACTCTTATGAAGATCTGTCAGACTGTGATTAAAAAATAGTTTGGACCACACAGAAGATGTTTGTTTTTTCTCCATCAGATTAGCTCCAGAGTTGATGAAGTTCTGACGTACATGAAGTGCAGCCAGAAATTCTTGAACACTCAGATGGATGAAGCAGAACACCGTGTCCTTGTACAGGCCTCGCTCCTTTTTAAAGATCTGTGTGAAAACTCCTGAGTACATRGAGGCTTCTCTGACATTGATGCCACACTCTATCAGGTCTGACTCATAGAAGATCATGTTTCCTTTCTCCAGCTGCTCAAAAGCCAGTTTTCCCAAAGACTTAATCATCTTCATGGTCTCTGGACTCCAGTGTGGATCTGTCTCAGATTCTCCATCAAACTTGAGCTTCTTAACTTTGGTCTGAACCACCAGGAAGTGGATGTACATCTCAGTCAAGGTCTTGGGCAACTCTCCTCCCTCTCTGGTATTCAACACATGATCCAGAACTGTAGCATTGATCCAGCAGAAAACAGGGATGTGGCACATTATGTGGAGGCTTCGTGATGACTTGATGTGGGAGATGATCATGCTGGCCTGCTCCTCATCTCTGAACCTCTTCCTGAAGTACTCCTCCTTCTGTGGGTCAGTGAAGCCTCTGACCTCAGTCACCATGTCAACACACTCAGCAGGGATCTGATGGGCTGCTGCAGGTCGTGTGGTTATCCAGAGGCGAGCAGAGGGAAGCAGGTTTCCTTTGATCAGGTTGGTCAACAGAACATCCACTGAGGTGGACTCTGTGACATCAGTCAGGACCTGGTTCCTGTGGAAGTCCAGAGGAAGTCGACACTCATCCAGACCATCAAAGATGAAGACAAGTTGGAAGTCTTTAAAGTTGAATATTTCATTGGTTTCAGTGAAGAAGTGATGAAGAAGTTCCACCAAYCTGAACTTTTTCTCTTTCAACACATTCAGGAGTCTGAAAGTGAATGGAAACATGAAATGGATGTCCTGGTTGGTTTTGTCTTCAGCCCAGTCCAGAATGAACTTCTGCGTTAGGACTGTTTTACCGATGCCAGCTACTCCTATTGTCATCACTGTTCTGATTGGTCTGACTCTTCCAGGTGGCAGTTTAAAAATGTCTTCTTTTTTGATGGTTGTTTCAGGTCTGCTTACTTTCCTGGATGCAGTTTCAATCTGCCTGATCTCATGTTCTTCATTGACCTCTCCAGTCCCTCCTTCTGTGATGTGTAGCTCTGTGAAGATCTGATTCAGAAGAGTACCATTTCCAGATTTAGTAATGCCCTCAGTCACACAATTGGACTTCTGCTTCAAAGAAGATTTCAGCTTCTGTTGATAAACTGCAGCCAAATGTTCTAAAAGAAAATGCAATAAAAATGACAACATTTAGTTTAGATAAATATCCATCCATCTGTCTGTCTGTCTGTCTGTCTGTCTGTCTGTCCGTCCGTCCGTCCGTTTGTCCAGCCACCCAGCCACCCATCCATCTTCTTCTGCTTATCCCAGTGGGACGTGCCCTGAAAACCTCATCAGGGAGGTGTCCAGAAGGAATCCTAACCAGATGCCAAAGCCATCTTAACTGGCTCCTCTCACTGTGAATGAACAATGGCTCTACTCTAAGTCCCTCCCAAATGGCCGAGCTTCTCACCTTATCTCATTCGATCTTGTTCTTTTGGTCACTACCCACAGCTTGTGACCATAGATGAGGGTAGGAATGTAGATTAACGGTTAAATTGAGGGCTTCATCTTTTGACTCAGCTCTCATTTAACCATGACAGATCGGTGCYGCATCCACATCACTGCAAAAACAGCACAAATACATCTATCCATCTCCTGCTCCATTCTTCCCTCATTCATGAACAAGATCCCAAGATAACTCCTCCACTTTGGAGGAGGAACTCTACCCTTTTCATGCTCAAGACCATGGTCTCAGATTTGTAGGCACTGATCCTCATCCCGGCCGCTTCACACTCGGCTGTGAACCGCTCCAGTGAGAGCTGGAGATCAGGGTCTGATGAAGCCAACAGGACCACATCATCCACAAAAAGCAGAGATGTGATCCTAAGGTCACCAAAAAGGATCCCCTCAACACCTTGACTGCTCCTAGAAATTCTGTCCATAAAACTAATGAACAGAATCGGTTACAAAGGGCAACCTTGATTCCAACTCTCACTGGAAATGAGTCCGACTTACTACCAGCAATGCGGACCAAGCTCTGACAC